AATAAATGAAAAATATTTTTAATAGTTAATATGTTGGGCAAAGATGGTAAGAGATGGCGGATGTATCCGGGGCAGAGGTTTAAGGAATTGGATAGGAACCTGGAAAGGAAGAAATGAGATAGAAGGCTATGGAAACAGTATTTGTTTAAAAAACATACAGACTTACTAGAGGAATTTTTGTTAACTTGAACACTAGTATAATTACTTCTAACAACAATAAATAGTCTTTTTAGAGTCTCTACATTCACTTAGCAAGGCATTTCATTTTGATCCAGTCAGTATCTATTAAAGCTTAGTGAATAAATATTTAGTAACAGAATCATTTTTTCTATAGCCTATAGTCCTCCTTCCTTCGCATTTTAATCCAAGCAAATAAATTCATTTTCTAATTACACCATGCAGCAGTAATTTATCTGGAAGCCTGTTATATGAAAATGCATGCCTAGCCAGATGTGTTTAGGGCATATTTTGTTGGAGTTGGCATAAAAATAATTACAGTCTCAAAAAATTTTAGGGTTTGTAGAAACACACTCAGAAGCATTTTTCCTGGAAGTTGCCAATCTAAACAGCTGTGCCTGATCATAATCCACAGCAAATCCATTGGGCAAAGGTATTTATTTCTTCCAGGTTGACAGGTAATGGGGACAACAAAGGCACTCCAGAAACAATGGCCTTTGAAAACTGCCTTTGCTAATACAGTGTCTCGGGATGACAGCCATCAGTGCCGGCTTGGCAGGCTCTCCACCTCTGCTTGGCTGAGTCAGATGCCTTCCCTTGGCCTCAGTCAGTAGGAGATGGCAAAATCTGGGGCCACTCGTGACCTAGTGCCACCTGGGTGCCACCTACTGCTTTCTACCCGCCTTTGCTGTGGGGAAGGAGGCATCTGAGGGCAGCACTTTCATGGACTTCTGGTGGATAACCTCTCTTCCAACAATCATTGTTTGACTCTTTGGCATCATAAATCATGAATGCATTTACATATTAAAAACAGAAGTGTGTAAAATGCAGTTGAATGATTCCTAGAATAATCTTTATACTATAAATGATCAAAACATGATGAGGCAGGTAGTAAATTTTAATGCTAATAAAGATAATAAAATTATAGATAGTGCTGATTTATTTTGCTGTTATTTTATGTTGAATACTATATTAAGCACTTACAACTAATCTCATTTAGTCATTATAATGTACTGGTGAAGTAGGTGGTATTACACTCATTTCTTAAATGAAGAAAGACATACAATGAAAGAGGTAAAGCTAAGGTCACATAGCTAGTAAATACATTAGTCATGCTTAAACCCCAGGTCTACTGACTTTGAGGTCTGTATTTTATGGCAATGACTCCCATGTTAGACCCTGTACCACTAATAACATTAATAATGAATAACCTGGAAACTGTACATTGGTTTAAAATGGGTTCATTAAAACTGCTTTATCTATTTCATGGGACATTATCAGTATTAAAAAGCATAAACATGTTGAAAGTCCTTTGAAAAAAGTTAAAATCATATGTACATATTTGTAATAATATATATACATATACACATGGTGCCCTATTTATGATGGTTCAAATGAATGATTATTTGACTTTATGATGGTACAAAAGCAATATGCATTCGGTAGAAACCGTGCTACAGTATTCAATAAATTACATGAGATGGTCAACACTTATTGTAAAATAGGCTTTTTGTGAGATGATTTTGCCCAACTGTAGGCTAACGTAAGCATTCAGAGCATGTTTAAGGTGGGCTAGGCTAAGCTATGACATTTGATAGGTTAGGTATATTAAATGTGTTTTCAGTTCATAGTATTTCCAACTTATGAACATTTATCAGGATGTAACCCCATCATAAGTCAAGAAGTATCTGGAAATTTATTCAATATAAATAAAGAATACACTTATGCTTTAAACATAAACAGCAAACAGGGTCAGAATGGTATGTGGAGAAAGTATTAAACTTGTAATCTGAAGACTTGGATTTTAGCCTCATATGTAGGATTTGGATATGTCACATCTCAACACTCACTTGGGAAATGGGGGGATAACTACACTTAATAAATGAAGAATTTTCTGATCTAAAGATTGTACATACAATATATCACATGTTTGTATGTATGTATAGTATTATTTATTTAATAATTATTTATTTTCTACTTACTTATTGCTTTTGTACAATCATATACTCCAGAATTATAAGTTATAGAATCTCAGAATTTAAAAAAATTTTGCTACAACAGAAATTTACTTCTTTATCTTGCTTACCCAGTTATCATATAAAATGAATATATACTTTCTCATTCTGATATATTTTAACCTTCGTAAATGGAATGCTAGATTACTTAGTATTTCTGGCATTGTTTAGGAAAAACAGCTGTGGCAGGATCAAGAATTGGCACCCCCCGACTTAAAAATTCTCTGTGTTCAGAAAATAAATACTTACTTTATGACGCATATGCCAGCTTATTTTCTGCAGTATTGCTTCTAACAAAAAACTTTTGGAAACAATACAAATTGTTAAATCAATTAAGCTTGTCATTCACTTACTGAAATATTATGCAGCTCTAAAGAATAATCAGTTACTTTTTATTAAAACATGAAAAGATATACAGGATTTAAAAAAACAAGGATCAGAGTACTGCATATAATATTCTACTCCTTGAGTAAAAATCTAGGGTGGTAGTATTTATGTTTGTATTTGCTTGCGTGAGCCTAAAGAAACATCAGATGAACAAATAAGAAATTAATAAGAGTGATTTTTATGGTGCAGAGGCTGGAAAGACCCAGAAAGTGGCAAACAAGGGTTAAAGGTAGCTTCACTGTACTCCATTTTACACTCACTGCTTTTTCAGTCAGATTGCAATTTCTACTTAAAAGTTAAAAAGATTCAAATGCTTTAAAAAAAAAGGGGAATGCTTTAAAGGGGTATTATTGAGAATTTAAAGTTCTGAATCAGATTGCTCAATCCAGGTGTCTACTGAGGTCACTATAGATTAAGAGGGATTGAGTTTTGATTTATGAAAGAGGCGAATGAAGAAAAAACAGGATACAGTTTGGAGCGTAATACACCCTGAGGCATCAGATGTTGAGGGGATTTCATGGATGACAGGATTTAAAATGTGAACTGTGGCATGGGCTACCGACAGCAGGGAGGCATTCAGGAGCGGAGGAGGGTTGCAAAGGAGAGGAGAAGGAGAACAAGGATAAACTCTGCCTGCTCTGCAGTTCTGCCTGGGTCCCTGTAGCTTCACTGCACTAACAATCAGACCTTATCAGGCCTTCAGAGTCAGAAACAGGCCTTGTTTAGCGTTTGCAGAAACTCATTGAAAAGCATGACACCAGGCAACGTGTGTTACCACCATGTACTGCCACCGCCCACACAGGAGCTGGAGTGAAACAAAGATGGAGGGCATGGAAGAAAGTTTCCAGAGATTTCTGCCTAACATCAGAACTCCTGTCTACCACCATACCACCCTGAATGCACCCAATCTCATCTGATCCCAGAAGCTAAGCAGGGTCAGGCCTGGTTAGTACTTGGATGGGAGACCTCCAAGGAATACCAGGTGCTATAGGCTTTTTAAAAGAAAGTTAAAAAAAAAAAAAAAAAAAAAAGAACTCCTTCCCTGGCATGAAGTCACAGCCATAAAATGGAGGTTATAATATTTAATTTTTTATCTGAGGTGAAGAAATAAAAGAAATAAGGAACCTTCTAGAAGGTCTTACAAAAATAATAGTTCTGAATTATGAACCAGTATTGAAACAAGATGACAGATGAGGAGAAGATGCAATGGGAAACAAGGATGAACCTTTCTGGAAGACAGATGGTCATGGGGTCATTCCAAACTTGCTTTACGTGTGAATAAATTAGCAGACGACTTGATCACTAAGGTGTTTACGAACAAGGAGAATACTGATCTCAGGAAGATAACATATTGCAAGGTGTTTTTACAGTGCAAAAACAAAAAACGACCTTTAGGCTTAGAACTGCTTTAACTAGACCACACTTTTCTAAGGAGAAAGACGTGACGAAGAGCAGTGTGGTCGCTTGTAGGCATCTTGTCTCCTCGCAATAAACAACAATGACACACCATTTACCTAAAATATTAATCATCTCAGGCATGTGTGAGCTTCTTTCATGCAGTGACTCAGTACCAGAGAATTGCAGTGACATCTCTGGTAGAAATTTAAACTATTTACCCAGAAGGAGAGTAAAATACTCCTTTGTCTGGCTCATTTTCCTAACTATATATTACTTTATGAATCAGACAAGTTCAGAAACTTTATACTGAGAAATAGAAAATAGCTAAAATGTGAAACATAAAGTACCATTTCATGAGTCCTTTCTTATTTGAATATTGGGCTTAGGAAACATGATGAATTGTGTGGATATTTGCAGTCACTTAAAGGAGGGCTGCAATCTCTGTACTACTGACATTATGGCCTGACTAATCCTTTGTTGTGGGGCAGTCCTGGGCATTGTAGGATGTTCAACAGCATCCCTGGCTTCTACGCACTAGAGGCCAGTAGCACCCCCCAGCTGTGGCAATCAAAAACGTCTCCACACATTGCCAAATATCCCTTGGGGGGTCAGAATTGCTCCTTTTGGGAACCACCAATCTAGAGGATAGCTCATTTTCTGTCTAACTCCTCTGTGGTAATAGGGGTAACATACCACAGTCTCACTCAACAGAAATGATACCCAATGAAGGAAATAAACACAATGGTTATCATTAAGCAAAACCACATATCAATGAAGTGGATGCATTCCTTCTCCCTTCCCCCCACAAAACCCCAGCGGACCAAGGCATTTTCTCACAGAATGAAGACTGCCTGCTTTCCCAGACCTCCCACAGGAAAGAAAAAACATGACAAAGAAAATTCGTTATACACATATGAGTACCAATTACAGAATCATCCCTTGTTATGAAACTTTCCCCAGAAGCTAAAATATTCTCTGCTGTGGAGTAAACCATACTGAATAGCAAATGAGAAAAGAACTCACTGTTTCCAGAAGAGGTTTTGTGGAATTTCGTCAGGTCAACATTTGGTGGTCTGTTGGGTTTTGGTGGAGGTGGACCCAAGGTAAACAAGGGAGGCAATGGCTTCTGCTTTGGGGTGGCCGAATTCTTGTCTCCCTTTTCCTTTTCCTGACTTTGGCCCCATGGCCCCCCCACTGTCAGCTTAGAAGGGGCCTTAGGGAACCTGGCAGGAGGAGCCCCTGAGGCCGACTCTTCCTGATTGATTTTGCTCAGGAAGATGTTCTTAGCAGCATCTATCTTCCTATCTTCCTTTTTTTCTTCACCATTTCTGGAGAGGCCTGGGGCTCCTCTGCTCGCAGCAGGTTTCAAAACCACTCCAGGGAAGGGCGAACTTGAAATCTCTCCTGCGTGGTCTTTATTTTCTGCGTCTTCCCTTGTTGGTTTTAAAGGGCCGCTTTTAGACCTGACTCCCAGGGGAGCTGGGGACCCTTTTGATGGAGACACATTCTTTGCGGGGTTTTCGTCTTCATGAGAGTCGTCGGTGCTTAGAGGTGGCTTCTGGCCAAAGGAAGGTTTGGGGAAGAGAGGCTTGGGTTCAAGATCTGGTGATGCTGACATAAATTTCCCTTTAACCCCAGCCAATTTGGGGAACACTTGCTTCTGCTCACTGTCCGGGGTTGGAGGAGTAGGCCCAGTTTTCGGGCCTGGTGGCTTTAGGTCATGGTCTTGGTTTACACTGTGAAGTAATGGCTTGTTCCCAGGAGGCCAGGAAAATGCAGGTTTGGAATCTTCTTTGGGCAAGTTGATAGGCTTGGGGCCTACAGGTTTCAGAAATCCCACTTTCACCTCGGGGTCTCTGGTGGTCAAGTTGGCTGGTGTTCCAAATCTTGGGCCCGCTCCAGTGGGCTTTAGAAACGGGGGCTTAGGTTCCTTGTCAGGCTTTTCCTCAGAAGAAGGTTTGACTGCCACAGGTGGCTTTGGGGACCCAAACTTAGGTACGTTGCTGGGTCCTGCAGGAGGGCTGGCATTTCCTTGGTTGTTGAATAAGTTCTTTCTTGCTTGTATTCCTGAAGATGAGTTTGGCCCTGTGACTCTGAAGGGTCGGCTATTGACTGAGACCTCCTCTGTTGGGTTGCCCGCTGTGTTAAATTTCGCCATGAGGGACTTCACATCTGCTTTTCCATCCTACAAAGATAGGGAACAAAAACTAGCTGAGAGACAGAAGTCTTACTTGCACAGTTTAAAATACTATACCTTAAAGAGCTTCCTGGTTTGAGGCTTGCAACGTTGCTGATTGGTTAGCAAGATATTGTAACATTTATCTTCTTCTCTAGCAAAATAAGTTGTGAGAGTTTCTTGAAAGGGAAGGGCTATGGTTGCACATGTACTTTTTCTTTTGGTCACCTCAGACTGACTTGCTTATTTTTGCTTAACGAACAAATATTTTCTTTCTTCTGACTGTTTCTCTAGCTCTCTTGTTGGATTTACTCTAACCTGGTATTATTTTATTTTTTTGGTCAACAACCTTAAATTATTTACCTTTTAAAGTTTTACTTGAAAAAATATGGAAGTGACTAAAAGAAGACTTCTTCAATATTTTATAATTGAGATTCTTAAGTAGAAACTACATTTAAAAAATGAAAGTAAGTTCTTCTGTAAATTGAGGCTGTTGCCTGACTCAGCATGGCCGTGTTTAACATACATCTCTGTGGTTTGCAAGAGTTTCTTTTTTCTTTTTTTTGCTTCTATCCACATTTAAGTTCTATTTGCTAACAGGGAGCTGTGGTGGAAAATCCTCACTCATTTTTACAAGTAAGTAATAAAATGGCTTTCTACCTATTTGTAATAATACAGCACTAATGATTCACCTGTATCTACACTAGCCGGTAAAGTGTACTCACTTTCAGAATTGTTCTGTTTAGAGGTCATGGTCTGGAGGCACACGGGAAGAGAAGGAAGAAGTAATAAGGATGGGCTGTCAGTCTCATTTCCAGACCTTTCTTTCCACCGTCATCCCTTTTCTCAGAGGTTCTCCTGCTGGGTCTCCCCTGCTTGTCTAGAATTAAGGCATTACTTAGCAAGGATAATAGGCATTCACCTTTCACTATATTTACCTGGGAAAATTAATGGTGTGTTTGCTCTTTGTCTTGAAAGCAAAGAGTTTAAAATTTCTAGTTCTTTTTAGAAATATTTGAGAATTGGAGGCTTAAAAAAAAATCACTGAAGTTAACCATGTGGCCATGACAATTTCCCTCTTCATACTTTAAAATTCATGCATAACGTGTTTTCTGCTTCTCACCTGCTACCTTTCATTGCCCCATACCCAGGCACATTTCATCTTTCAAGGTGGAAAACCAGATTCCTCCTGCTGCAAAGGTTGCTTCCACCTCCTGACTCATGCGCACTTCAGATGCTTCCACAAGCCCCTACATTATTTCCGCTTAGAGTGATGAGAACTACCATTTAGTGGGGGGGGGGGGGGGGTAAATACATGTGCTTAGTTTTATATCATCCCATCTCATTCTTACAGTAGTTCTAAATGAATGTTGTTATTTAACTCCATTTCACAAGAAAGGAAAAGTGAGGCTGGAACTACAGGAGGATGGCATGGCCAGAGCATGAGAACTGGGTTTAAATCCTAGTTCCTTTGTGGGACCTTAGTTGTATAATTTACATAATGGAGATAACACGTGTCTGCCAGAATTGTCATGTCCCTTAGACATGGAATTTGTAAAATGCCTGTCTGGTGTACAATATGGAAATGCCTTGAATATGCTACCTAACAGTTCTAGGAACGGTGAGCAAAGGCAGGCAAACTCGGGTGTGTCTGGGGCTCAGAAGTTCAGAAACTGTCTCATTCCTTTTTGTATTCCTGTGTCACCTACACCAGGGCCTGGCTCCCTCAGGGTTCTAATATACGCTTGGGAAATGAGGGCAGACACTCAGCTGAATACTGTGCACAGTGATTTTACAAGAAATGGTGCCCTCAGCAAGAGTTTTCCTCCATACCAAATTATAGGGTATGTGTATTTGCAGGGTGGGAGGTGAGGGGCTTAGGCAGGAGCAGAAAAGCTAACAGAAGCAGCAATTTCCAGCTTGAATTTTGTACCCTTATCTGAGTTGTTGGAAACCGCTTGTTTTCTACCTTTCCTCCCTTTCCACTTTTCTTTTTTGCTTTTTCCCTTTTTTTTTTTTTTTTTTTGAGATGAAGTCTCACTCTTGTTGCTCAGGCTAGAGTGCAATGGCATGATCTCGGCTCACTGCAACCTCCACCTCCTGGGTTCCAATGATTCCCCTTCTTCTGCCTCTCGAGTAGTTGGGATTACAGGCATGAGCCATCATGCCTGGCTAATTTTTTTGTATTTTTAGTAGAGATTGGGTTTCTCCATGTTGGTCAGGCTGGTCTCAAACTCCAACCTCAGGTGATCTGCCTGCCTCAGCCTCCCAAAGTGCTGGAATTACAGGCATGAGCCACCATGCCTGGCCCCTTTGCCGCTTTTCTACCACCCCTGATTTCCTCAAATCCTCAAATAATCCCCAAAGGCAAGAGGCAGGAAGACAGCAGAACAAGGGAGAATTTGGGTGCTGGGGGAGGGAATAGAAGAGAATGGGTTCTTCCCTGAACCTTCAGGGAGATAAGAGTTGCAGAGGACCCCAAATGCTAGTACAAGAAACAAAATGGCAGAATTAATAGCAAAAATTTGCCCCCTATCTGGAAGGAAGTCTGTCTCTGTGGAAAATGTCTTTTATTCTAGACTTAATTCCGTATCATATAATGTATATTCTAGGTTTGAAACAAGAGGCTGCATAGCAGCGTGACTAAGCGCACAGACTTGGGAGCCAGGCAGCGTGGGTTTGAATCTTACTAGCTATTTAACCTTGGACAAAAGACATCAAAATTCTTTGGGTTTAGTTTTCTCACTTCCCTAATGGGAATAATAATGCCTAGTCATAGAGCTGTTAGGAAAATTAAACAACTTCCTATGTGTAGAGCACTTTAAAGAGTACCTGGCACATAGGAGGATTTCTGATTTTTATAAATCAAGTGAAACGTTAGACAATCTCTAGTCCCTTCTCTCGCTGCATTGGTGAAGAAATGGAAAGCAAGAGTTTTAAGTGGTATCCTGCTTATGTGACAACTTTATGTCTTGGATTTCATGGGGGAAGACCCATGAAATACCCTAACCCTTTTTCAACTCAATGTTCTGGTTTTGGTTTAGAAAATATGAAAGAGGTAGATTTGGATTGGAACGTAAGTCTCTCTGCTGCCAACCCAGACCCAGGAGGCAGTGCAACGTCAAAGTTAATAGCACAGGCTCTGGGGTTATAACTTGAGTTCAAACCTTGACTTTACCACCTTACTAACCACATGATCTAGCAAGGTACTTCTCTGAGGCTCACTTTTCTTCATCTTTAAGATGAGAATAATAACAGTACCTATAGCTCACACGGTTTTTGTTTGTTTTAAAATAAGGATTAAATGGGCAAAGGCGTGTAAAGTTCTTAGATAAGAATTGCATGTAATATATATCTAATAATTATCTGCCATCTCTGCTTTTCTAATTCAGTAGTCACAAAACATTATTTTCTCTAGATGACCAAATTCTGAAGTTACAATCATTAATGTTATGTCCGAATTTTAAATTGAAGTAGCTTGAACTCACATACTCCTGAATAACATAGTAAAGTTATGATATTTAAGTTCGGTTTACCTACACTGTGAGACTTTTCACTGGATGTTGAAAAACAGGGAAAGAAAGAGCAGCAAGTTACTACGCAGGGCATCTTAGAGCCCGGCAGCCACTGATAGGTCTGGCAAATCAGTAGCCTGAACTCTGCAACTATCTAATCACTAATATTGGTTTCTTAGCTTTAGAGGCGGTTTAATCATGATCATTATTAATACATTTAGTAGATACAGTTTCCAACACCCAGACTCACCCTTAATGGTAACAACAATAGGAAGATTTTTTTCTTTAATCATCATAGAAAAAGCAAAAATGATTTTTGAAATGGACATTCTCTCATTCTGATTTCATTGTAGATTGAATATCTTTTCAATTCTCTAGTACTTTATATATTTTTTTTACTTAAAAAAGGGTAGGGGTAATATATTCTTTGGTGATAGAGTGAAAAGTAAGCCTTCTACAACTCCTTAACTTAGTTCCCCAGTTCTAAAATAGGCTGATATCCTGAGAACTCATACCAGTACAGTATGAGTTTATACCTGTCGTTCTGGAATAATGATTAGCAATGTTCCTTTTTAATCTCAAAGCTGATCTTCCTTAAAGAATAAACTACCTGGTGGCCTTCCCTAGTTCTCTTTAGAGGCAATCACTGTCACTAGTTTCCTATGTATGTTGTGCATATGCAAACCTAAACACACACTTACTCACATGCGTACATCCTTCCTTCTCTCACTTTTCACACAAATGGGAATGTCTACTCTGCACCTTGCTTTCTCCTAGGGCTGATATTCAGTAGATATACACCAGTACAGCTGGATGTATGATCAGCAACCATTTGGATTGTTTGGTACCCATGCCAATTCCAGTTGTTAAATATTTTCAATATTAACCCCACTTTTTTCCCTTGCCAGTTGGACCATATTGGTGGATGTTATTTGCAGAACCTTTTTAACTCTTAATGATATCAAGACTGGGCTTCTACTTATTCATCAGAGGAGGTATTTCACAATCTGGATCAGAGTTTATGATATTTTTTGTTAAACAAAAATTTCATTTGCAATTTCTTTTCCAAAGCCATTTGAAGAAATTTGTTATTATTTCCACCTGCTATGTATCTATATAATGCTTAGTCCAGACTACTCACAAACGTTGCTCACAAACACAGATATAATAATAGTAGAAATCCTCTTCTTGAAATTAATATCCGTTAGCCCCCATATATTTTGCTCTTCCTCAGAATTATGTATCTTCAATGGTACAAACTTTTACATTTGCCACAGACCTTGGGAAAATGTCTGTTAATAAAAATGCTTTTGTTACATCCTCCGGATTTCCAGTTAACAAACCCAGTTTTCTGAAAATCATTTTCAGTTTTAGCAATCTACATAAAAGTAATGAACCAAGTACATAGTCAAACAAAGGTTGAGATGGAATGAAGGATAGACATCCCATCTTTCTGTTCTAGAAAGGAAATAGTCCCCTTTGTAGTCAGTTCAT